CACATGCAATTTTTTTGCGTTTCACGCGACCTATTCAGATCTTGAAAAAACCATGTCTCAATTTTGGGAAACTGAGAAAGTCCCTGAGATATTTCCAGAATATCCCAGCGAGCAAGAAGCTTGCGAGTCTTGTTTTCAAAATTCTCTTGAAATAATAAATAACCAATATCAGGTGAAATTGCCACTAAAACAAACTGACATAAATTTGGGGGATTCATTTTCAGTGGCTATAAAGCGCTTTGAAAACCTGGAAAAAAGATTTAGAGTTAATCCTGATCTTTTCTCACAATATAAGAGTTTCATGGATGATTATTTGAATTTAAATCATGCCAAAATTGTCAATTACCCTGTAGAGGAGTTAACTAATGGTTCGATTTATTTCATGGCGCATCACCCCGTTATAAGGGAAGCTGGAGTAAAATCGGCAAAATTTCACATCAAGCGAGTCATAGTTAGCAATGAGCTTACCTATGAACAATTTAATACTCTTATTGTCCAAGTAGAAGGAATTTTAAATTCCCGACCACTTGTAGCCTTGTCACAAGATCCTTCAGATTTGGACTATTTGACCCCTGGTCATTTTTTGATAGGTGCGCCTATCACAAGCTTTCCTGACCCTGATTTGACGGAAATTCCCCAAGGTCGACTTAAGTTTTGGAAATTGTGTGTCCAGATGCAGCAGCATTTTTGGAAAAAGTGGTATCACGACTATCTAACGCAACTCCAAAATAGGCCAAAATGGCGTGATGAGATGCCTAACCTTAGGGAGGGCTTGTTAGTCATTTTAAAAGAGGATAATGTACCTTCTTATAAGTGGCCAATGGCAAGAATAGTTAAAGCAATACCTGGAAAGGACGGCAAAGTAAGGGTTGTCGAAGTGAAAACCAAAAAAGGTATTTATCTCAGATCGGTTACCAAGATTGCAGTGTTACCGATTGATGACAATAATTGTTAATAATATTTTTGAAAATTATTCACAAAATTCTGTACATATATTTGTAAAACATTTAGATTTATATTTATATTCAATTAGCTATACTCGTATATACATACATAATGTCATACTATGTGTTCCAGAAATGTTTTTAGCTTTAATTGTTAGTTAAGTTTTCGTTTACTGGATCATCATTGAAATCATACCTTTTTTTAAAAAAAGGGTTGCTTACTTTCTCTTTAATTTTTTTATTTTTTTTTTGCTGGAAAATTTTACCTTGGTTTCATGTGAAACTCTAGGCCCCCCAGCATGTTGGAAACATGTTCCAACAATCATGCTATCTCTTTTTGATGGCAAAATATTTTTATACATATAAAGTTTGCAACACGCGTTGTCGTCATGTCTATTTTGTCATGTCTGTCAATATATTGCGCGCCATTTTTGTCATTGCAGCAGTGTAGCTTGGAGCTTGTCCACGTTAACAAGCATCCAGAAACCTTTTCACATTTTAATAAATTTTATAATCTAGCTCTGCCCTGTTGGGCATCTAAGCAAGCTCTGGCTTCTTGTCATCTTGTAGTAGTAATTGTAAATAGTGTAAATATTGTGTAAATTGTTGTAAATATAGTGTCAGTGAAAAGCGCGTGTGTTTTAGTTCCCTATCCAGTCGATCATCCAGTCCACCTAATTATACAGTCCACTAATTATCAAGTTATTTATCTTCCATTATGTGGTTTTGCACACCGGGATATTTCCAAAAATTTCCACTTATTAATTTTGACAATTTGTATGCAAAATTTCTAGTGTAATTTGCACAAGGGAAATTTCCAAGAAATTTTTTTTTTTTTATTAAACAATACCAAAATAGAAAAAATAGTATAAAATATTCGTTTCATAAGACATTTTATCGCACTCGCCCTTTAGAAAACTCGCCTCCGGCTCGTTTTCTAATATAGGGCTCGTGCGATAAAATGACGTCTTATGAAACTTGTATTTTAATGTACTATTTTTAAATCACAAGCTTTTATAAAATGCATTAAGAATTAAAAAATAATTTTTTCTATTTTGGTGTCATATCGATGTCTTTTCGACACTAAAAGTAGTTTCGAAAAGAAGCTCTTTGTGACACTCCTTTTTTACTTATCGGAGGTTGGTAACACTGGCTGACTGATGGCCAACGAACTGTCATTCGTGATTTTATAATAGAAGATTTCTATATTTGGCATCTAGTGTTACCTTTGAGTGTTACCAACCTAAACATATGAAATCAGGAAATATGAGAATAAAATTTCCAAGAAAAGTTTGTTTTTTTCAATTAAACAATACCAAAATAGAAAAAATAGTATAAAATATTCGTTTCATAACACATTTTATGGCACTCGCCCTTTAGAAAACTCGCCTCCGGCTCGTTTTCTAATATAGGGCTCGTGCGATAAAATGTCGTCTTATGAAACTTGTATTTTAATGTACTATTCCAGCATTCTGATATTATCATAATAATGAAAGCGATGGCCGACTCATCAATTAAATATCACTAGCATAAAAATACAAAGGTACCAGACATTTTTTTCTTAATGTTGTATTGTCATCGGACCACTATACCGGGTGTTTTTCAAAACCCGCTCACCCCTATAACTTTTTTATTTTTTCCAATAAGCAAATGAAATTTGGTGTGTTTATTTATGACCCGGATGTGCATTATTTGACGTATTCAATTTTTTACTAATACTTCCGGTTTGACCAGAACAAACTTCCTTATTTTAAATGAGAAGCCAGGTAAATTTTTCCTCATTTCAATAGAAAACTACATTACGAGTACAATGACACCTCATTTGTCACTTTTTGACAATTCACCTCCAAATTATTTAAATTTTTACTTTCTAATCTAGAGCGCCATGAATAAGTTAAAATGCTTAGTTTTGCTCCCAGAAACATGGGAAAATTTGTTTTGAGCTTATTTTGAATTTTATATCCTCTAAAGGCTCATTTAAAGTTAGTAGCAGCGCATTTTTGGAATTATATCAATTTTTTTCAAATGGAAAGGGTATGGGTCATTAGCATATTTCGAGAGAGCATTTTCTAACAAACAATTCAGTACCACACAATCGTTAATTTATTCAAAAATTGAACTAAAATTTTCCAAAAATATTTAGAATGCTAGAAAAATTCTTAATTTGAGTGATGAACTAGCGATTGTGTGGTACTGAATTGCTCGTTAGAAAACGCTCTTTTGGAACATGCTCATGAGCCATACCCTTTCCATTTGAAAAAACTGATATAATTATAAAAATGGGCTTCTACTATCTTTAAATGAGTCTGTAGAGGATATTAAATACAAAATAAGATCAAAACAAATTTTCCCATGTTCCTAGGAGCAAAATTAAGCATTTTGACTTATTCATGGTGCTCTAGATTTAAAAGTAAAAATTTAATTAATTTGGTGATGAAATGTCAAAAAGTGACAAATGAGATGTCATTGTACTCGTAATGTAGTTTTCTATTAAAATGAGAAAAAATATACATAGCGTCTCATTTAAAATAAGAAAGTTAGGGTCACTTCCGGTCAAACCGGAAGTGATAGTAAAAAATTAAATATGTCAGATAATGCACATCCGGGTCATAAATAAACACACTTAATTTCATTTGTTTATCTGGAAAAATAAAAAAGTTATAGGGGTGAGCGGGTTTTGAAAAACACCCGTATGTATACCAAATTTCATCGAAATCGGATAATGGGAAGTGTGTCAAAAACGCATTTTTCTATGGAAGGGGGTGGGGGTAGGGGTGGGAGGATATTTTTTTCTTATTGTTGTATTATCATCGGACCACTATGTGTATACCAAATTTTATCCAAATCGGATAACGGGAAGTGTGTCAAAAACACATTTTTCTATAAAAGGGGGTGGGGGTAGGGGTAGGAGGATATTTTTTTCTTAATATTGTATTGTCATCGGATCACTATATATTTCATCCAAATCGAATAATGGGAAGTGTGTCAAAAACAAATTTTTCTATGGAAGGGGGTGGGGGTAGGGGTGGGAGGAGATTTTTTTCTTATTGTTGTATTATCATCGGACCACTATGTGTATACCAAATTTTATCCAAATCGGATAACGGGAAGTGTGTCAAAAACACATTTTTCTATAAAAGGGGGTGGGGGTAGGGGTAGGAGGATATTTTTTTCTTAATATTGTATTGTCATCGGATCACTATATATTTCATCCAAATCGAATAATGGGAAGTGTGTCAAAAACAAATTTTTCTATAGAAGGGGGTGGGGGTAGGGGTGGGAGGATATTTTTTTCTTAATGTTGTATTGTCATGGGACCACTATGTGTGTACCAAATTTCATCCAAATCGGATAATGGGAAGTGTGTCAAAAACGCTTCACAGGATTTGATAGTTAGATAGTTAGACAGAACATGTGAAGCTAAATAAAAGCTTGTAAAAAAGGGTCCTTGGATGGTTGATTATTATAATTTGAGAGAATATTCGGAGCGAATTATAAACAATTTCGACAACTTGTTGTTGAGTTGTATTTTATGAGAGAATTTCATGAATCAAAAATTTAAATTTTCTGTCAAAAAATGTCAAAACACCAGTTACTGCGCAATTATCAGTAGTAATAGCCCAAGGACATTGATAATTGTCCGAAAAAAATTTATAACAGATTTCGAAAGCTTGTTGCTTGAGAAAGTTGTTATAAAATTTTTGAGCATTTATCAATGTTCGAGGGTTATTCGGATAGAAATTTTTTTGACAGCAATGTCCGAAAAAATGTCATAGAGTGGAAACAACCCTAGGGCTATTTTCAGTATAATTTTGACATGATTGGGTGATTTCAATGGTGATTTGTGTGGCTGTTAGAATTGTCAAAAAATTTTCATAATAACTTGCACTAGTGCAAATTATCACGCAATCAAAATCTGATTGGTTCAAATCAACAATCAAAACATCTCAGTTTATTGTTGGTATGTCAGTTTTGACAGATGTATGAAATTCTCAACTAAAAACTTAGTACCGTAATAATAGACATCCAGTATAAATATGGTTTTATTGATCATCAAAAAAATATAGATAGGTTTTATTAAAAATTCTTCCATTCAGCTTTCTTTTTTGCTAATAATGTTTGTCTCTTCTTTCGCTCATAGTTCATTAGTTTTTGTAAGTCAGTTACTATCTTTGCACTCGGGATTGACGGGATTTTTCCTCTTACTTCTTGCTCCAAAGTTGTTTTTGCTGGTTTTTCTTCTAGCTTGACGTCAGATATCGATCCGCTCTATGAAAAAAAAAAACTATTATTGTCTTATTTTAGTTTTGTGTCTGCTTACTAACATCTTCAAATTCTGGAGTTGGAGACGGAGCTTTATAATTTTTATTACAAAATTTATCAAATTCTTCCTCAATTTCGTCGACAATATTTTTTTGATTTGCAAAATATCTATCATATATTCTTTTTTCTTTTTGTACTACATCCTTTTGCTGCAAAAAATCTTCTTCAGCTTCAATAAATCGTTCTTTGCACAATTCTTCAGTAGTTGTCAATAAATTACCTTCGCTGTCGAATTCGCCTTTTTTCATAAATGTAGGCATAATCTTTGCCTGAAGTTGTAAAGTTGTTGTCGATTATTCATAGTTACCTTATTAATTTTATCTCCTACCAGTATTAAATCGGTTTTCCGTGCTCTAACATCTTCATGATAATGTCTCAATTTCAGAACTACGTTCTGGTAATTATCGAAACTAATTTCAGCTTCATTGGCGTTTAATTTATATCTTTCAACTTTTTCTTGGTAAGAAGGAGAAAGCGAAAATATATCCCAAAGTTCTTGTTTTTCCGGCAAAATATTTGGCATGGGCAGGCTTAGCTCCGAAAACGATTCTGACACACTTCTGATGCTTCCTTTTGAAATACTATTTACTAAAGTATTTGACTTGCGTTTGCTATATGCTGACTTTAGAGCAGTGCTCGATAATTTCATAGATGCTTTTCGTTTTGAAACATGTGGAAGCTGCTGAGAATCACTAACTAAAAAAAAAGTAAAACTTGCATTGAAAGTTACTCAAACGATGTTATTACGGATTTCACGCAGGTCCACTAAAATTCTTTTTACTAATAATAACTTTTTTCTACAAACGTATCAACCCACAGTGTGGCCTTACAAATTTCACTTCGAAGCACTGCGTACCTACCCACCTACCTTATTGACGGAAGATACCTACCTATTCATTTGAATCAATACCAACAACTACCTACGACGCATTCGTCAAATCGGATTTTACTTGGAATGTAATTATTTACCCATTTTATTTATTTATAGTTATTATATCACAGCTACCCAGACGATTCAGTGACCAAATTACCAACACCCGTCCAGGTAAGGGGCTCCTTACTTTATGTCATAAATTAATAATTCACAATTCACTCCTTCCATAAATAAAGAAAATATCTCTTTTCCAAGAGGTCGTCAAGGTTCCACATGTTTGGTTCTTCCTTTATTACATGATTCCCAGCATTTCTCCAGTTTTTTACAGTTACGTGATGGAATGACGTTGTTAACAGTTCTCCTCGTACATTTTGTAATTTGAAGGTGGTATTATTTCTTCTTCCCTTTACACGAACCCAAACCATATCAGTTCAAACGGATTTAATTCGCAACGGTAGAATGGCCAGCGAAGTATAATTACATCCTGTTCCTTAGTTATTTCATCAACATTATGTCTTTTGAAATGTGATTTTTGTTTTGTATCTTTTTTCAGAGCCTCTTTTTTTAATTATCATTTTTATAGGGTATTATTTTTCCATTTGACCAATTTAGAATGTCTTCCTTCCGCCAGGAACGTCAGGGTAAGTTTTCTTCTAGAAATGATACCTGGAGTTGTCCATGACAATGACGGAACCTTAAGGAATTGAGGTTATCATTTCAGAAAAGTAGTCTTCAGAGACATCAGCCGTCATTTCTTTATGGTAGTGCCAGTGGTGCCCACAAGAGTCTTCTTTTCGAAAGTCTCGCATGTTCTCGTCTCGTTTCCGGGACAAGACTCGAGACGATACTCGGACAAAACGAGGCGAGAATTTTATTGGTCTCATCTCGAGTCTCGTGCGAGACTTCACGTGACTCGTGCGAGAGTCTCGTAGGTAAATCTTTCTATATGCAGACTCTGCAGACAAAGTACACATAATTTAAATATATATACAGCCGGACTCTAGGAAAAACGTTATCCGCCCACTGGCACCGACTACATGGGGGCATCGGGGCAGGTGCACCCATGAGCAACCTCTCACGGGTGCGGAGCACCCAAGGGAGCTTTCGTGGAAAATGCGAAAGTATAAACGTATTTTTTCTCTAAACGTCAAAAAAACATCACAAATCATGTATTTTTTGCAAATGTCAAGAACAATTATTTCCTTTGTGAGAAAAAACAAAACAAAAATGTATTTTCTTCAATATATTTTGTATTTTCTTTTGGGCATCGTGATTTTTCTCTTGATAACTCGATCCTGGGGGGGTAATTACCCCCATAACCCCCCCTCGACGCGACGCCCCTGCACACGTGGCGACTATACATCGGATAGTACATAAAAGCAATATTCTTTGCTATAGTTCTGGCTTTGGAATCAAGAACTCCCTCACATTTTACCAGATTACTTGATGATATTTTAACATTAAATTTACAAAACACACACTATACATACAGGGTTGTGGTTATGTATGGAACCGGCCTAATATTTCAGAACGCGCTTAAGAAAAATGTACAATATTTCGTACATGGGGGTTTTTAGGAATGCCCGATTCAATGGTGGTATCTGTAATGTTGCCAAGACTACCATTTCTAAGATACCGTATGTAGGTAACTTATTTTTTTTTAAATGAAAGTCCCTCTTTATTTTTCTTGTAATTAGATCAGCGTCCCAACATTACTAAAACCCCTAAATGAAAAACCTCAATTTGACTTGGTTTTTGAAATATGGCTGCACAGCTTTTTTATTAAAATGTACTAAATGTACGAAGATGGTCTCGTATTTCAGAACAGACCTCAGTGCGTTCAATTTATCTTGATAACATGACACATGACGCTGTAACTTTTTTGTTTTTAAAGATATCAAGGACAACAAAAAAACAAAATTTAGGGTTAGTAGTCAAGTTTTTTTTTCCAGTCACATCTAGAAGAAATCACTATCAATTTTCTGGCATATGTGCCTACATTATATTTTTTAAATTCAACACCCTATATTATATACCTATTTGTTTGATAGAATGAATATCTTATTCCGATTACAATGATAAAACACACTTTATATGAACAGAAATTGTACTGAATCTGAAAAAAATTTACTGAATGGCGGCAAATTCAAAAATTGGATGTATAAAAATAGATTTACATAGATCTATGTAAATCCACTAACAGCCAGACTATATAAAACCCTGGCAAAAGGCAGGACGCAAGGACCACTGATACTTAAGAAACCAGACGGTAGCTACACAGAAAATGAGCAAGAACGAGCTGTTCTATTGCTGGAAACTCACTTTCCAGGAAGTACAATTAATAGTACTAGAGATAGCAAAGGTCAACCCAAGAAAACCAGGCAAGAAAACTGGGAGGTTGCCAAGAACCTTCGCACTCCCGAGCGGCTTATTTAGGCGATCAACACATTCCAAACATTTAAGTCGCCTGGAGTTGACGGCATCTTTCCAGCCCTGCTGCAAAAAGGACAAAATGAAATTATGCCGTATTTGATGAAACTGATCAGATTCAGTTTAGCGACCGGGTATTTGCCAACTCAATGGAGAAGAGCCAAGGTAACCTTCATCCCAAAGGTAGGGAAAAAGGACGCCACACTACCGAAGTCTTTCAGACCTATATGCCTTACGTCGTTCTTACTGAAAACACCAGAGAAAGTTGTAGATAACTACATCAGAACAAGTGTTCTGGAAAAAACGCCACTACATCTTCGGCAACATGCTTACAGAGCGGGACGATCAACAGAAACCGCTTTATTTGAACTCTCTGATAGCATCCAGAACACACTGCAAAATAAGGTGTCTGTGCTTTCTTAGACATAGAGGATAGAGGGGGCATTTGATAACACCTCTCATGAATCAATTAAGAATGCACTCGTCAGGAAAGGAGTAGACAAAACAACATCCACCTGGATGTGCGAAATGCTTGCAACCAGAACTGCAGAATCTGACGCAGGTGAGCAAACCATACAAGTCAACACAACTAGAGGATGTCCACAAGGAGGGGTACTATCACCCTTGATGTGGCGTCTAGTGGTTGATGATCTCCTTGGCGTACTGACCTACCAGGGATTCACCTGCTTTGGATATGCCGACGACATCGTCATTATGGCCAGAGGCAAATTCGAAGGAATACTCTGTGACCTTATAGAAAAAGCACTTCAAACCACGAAGGAATGGTGTCAGTCAGTGGGGTTGAATCTAAACTCAGCGAAAATCACGCTGGTAACATTCACAAGAAAAATAAAACTCCCAAATCTGAGAAACATTTACCTCAATGGAAGCAAACTCAATTGGAAGTAAGAAGTAAAATTCCTAGGAATAACCCTAGACTCTAAACTTCTCTGGAATCGACACGTGGAAAACATAAAAAACAAAGCAATTTCGGCACTCATGGTCTGCAAAAATATCGCGGGTAAAACGTGGGGCTGTAACCCATCAATATGCGATGGATTTACACCATGATAGTGAGACCCATCATCACCTACGGAGCAGTAGCTTGGCACAGCCGAACCGAGCTAGTAACAGCTAGGAAAACCCTAGGAAATGTGCAAAGACTTGCGTGTCTCTGTATAACAGGAGCAATGAGATCGTCCAATTACGGCACTAGAGGTCATAGTCGACCTCACACCACTTCACATAATACTGAAGCGGGTTGCAAGTGGATCACACCTCAGACTGGAGAAGATCGGTATTCAAGGAAAATCGCATTCTGATAGAGCTTTTCCTCTTCCAAACTGTTCACACCTTATGGATCTACCAAAAGATGAAACTATCAAGAAATATAGCTTCGAGAAACTTTTTTCCATCGAACTAAGCACGAAAAACGAATGGAACATAGAATCTCTCCAATCCCTGAAAGCAAACACCATCAAATGGTAAACAGACGGTTCCAAAACAGCTGAGGGAACTGGATCAGGAGTATTCGGGCCACGAACCAGATACTCGAAGCCTATGGGCAAGTCACCAAGCATTTTCCAAGCGGAATTGCATGCGATCGGAAGATGCGTGCAATTCAATCTAAACAAAAGATACTGGAAACGAGAAATCACGATAATGTCTGACAGCCAGGCAGCTATCAAAGCATTGAACTCACCAGTCATCAATTCTAAGATAGTATGGGAATGTCTACAGAAACTCAATGAGTTAGGAAAAGAAAACAAAGTAACTCTCCTCTAGGTGCCTGGGCACATGGGAGTTGAGGGCAACGAAGGCGCAGATGCACTCGCAAGAACGGGAGCTTCTACCCCCTTCACTGGGCCAGAACCATTCTGCGGTCTCGGCAATAGGCACTTCTAAGGAATCCTCAAAAAGAAAGAAAACCGGCTAAGAAACAAACACTGGCTAGAACAGCCAGGACTACGGCAGGTCAAAGATCTACTGGGCAACTTTAACCAAAAAAGATCAGAACTGCTAGTCAACCTTAGCAAGAAAAGTCTCAAAACGCTAACCGGGTTCCTCTCGGGACACTGCAGACTCAAAAAACACCTACACAAATTAGGTCTGGGAGAAAATGGCACCTGCAGATTCTGCGAACACGGAGAGAAAACACCTCACCACCTTTTACTGAATTGTAATGCCATTAGTCGTTCAAGGATGAAGAATCTGGGAAGCCCCACCATACAGTTGGAAGATATTTCAACTCTGGAATCGCTGGATATCCTAAGATTCCTTAAGGACCTAGGACTGGAGGGGCTGCTTTGAGCAGGAGGACCTGGCAGCAGAAGGAGGGGTACAAT